TATGGGGAGAAAGAAATTCATGCCTGGCTTCCACTCAAGAAACATAGACTTGGGGATGTACAAGGTATTCCTAGAAACACCAGGGCTGTTGAAAATTACTAGAGTCCTCAGAAGACCCTGTATCATTGGAGAATAGGTCAGCAGTGATACAATAGTACATCCAATGCGACCTTCTGGCTCACTAATTAGTAAGCATTAGGATTCTCATTAAGTTACAGTGATTGAGGCTAGTCTTTAGAAGAAGGCTGATTGTGGGGTAGCTGGTCCAACCTGCCCTTCTTGTTCACATCACTATCTGAGTGGCTTTGTTTACAGCAGATGTGATTGAGACTGGTGAAGTAGACATCCATGGAGGGTCAACACATGCTTTCTACGGGAAGTATATGCCATTCCTTGCTGTTTGTTGTTTTTAATAGACCCCTTGATAATGTTAAGGGGAATGACTATCAAACTGTGGCAAATATTGACAGGTGATAACAGAACTTAAGGTGCTTGCAGCAATTTGGGAGAGTGGCATCAAGGAATTCTCCTTGGACAAGGAAGCTTCAGGACAATTAAAAAATATACCATTAATGCCCCTTCTTCCTCCATGTCTCAAAGTCTAATGAGTTGCTTACTTGAATGACAGAGGTTCTGATTTATTTTTACCTCTCCCAATCAAATGTATTTATAAATTCATCACTTTTTCTGGTCATCCTTTATTCACGCAAAGTCCCTTTGTCTAAGGAGTCAGATTCAAGTACAAGTGCATTGTAATAAAGCCTACAGAGATCCCTTCGGTCTCTCTCTTGGCTCTGTATAGGCTCCTGTGGGAAGACCCAGTGAGCTGTGTACTCAGACAAGTGTTCATTGCCCCAATTATCTAGAATCATAATAATCTAGCAAGTCAGGCTACAGTATAGAGGGTGAACCCTCCTGATGGCTCAGTGCCATCATTAAGGGAAATAATGAACAAAGTGGTTAGGGCAAAACAACAAAGTTTCCAAAATACTTTTGGACAATCCTCAGCCTCTTTCATCCAGAATATCACTTAGAGTAGCTGAGAGATGATTCCTGTCTAAAGGGAGCTACATTCAGGGACCAAACTGCAATACAAATATATGGACCAGGAGGAGGTGAGGGAAAGAGACTCAAAAACTTTTTTTTTTTTTTTGGTCTTTTTGGGAAAGGGCCCCCCTGAAGGCCAACTGTCCTGGAACAACCCATGTAGACCAGGCTGGCTTTGAACCCACAGAGATCTGCCTGCCTCTACCTTCCAAGTGCTGGGATTAAAGGCGTGTGCCACCATGCTCAGCTCAGAAAATTTTTTTCAACTAAACTTTTATTTTGAGGTAGTTGTGGATATACACATGATTAAGTAGAAACAATCCAAAGAAAGTTCATTTACCTATTACTCACTTTCCCCCAATATTAACATGTTAACATAATATCTGAGTATCCCAGCAACATCTGTGGATATAGTTAAATGAAAGAATGTTTTCATTACCACAAATATTCCTAATGATGCCTTTTATAGCCACATCCATTTCCCTCCCATCCCTTGCCTTCCTTAAACTCCATCAGTCATTTACCTGCTCTTGATTTCACAATTTGATGGCTCAGCGGTTAAAAGCATTGACTGCTCTTGTAGTGGATCTGGTTTCATTCCCAGCACCCACATGGCAGCTACAAACAGTTCTTAACTCCAGTTCCAGGGGAATCTGATGCCCTCTTCTGACCTCCATGACATTGCACGACACGGGTGCACTCACATACATGCAGGCAATACACTCATACACATAAAATAAAAATAATAAATAAATTTTTTAAAAATGTGCTACTTAAATAGTATCATAAAGCATGTATGGAAACTATCTTGTCTTTCATATTAAGTATAGAGGATTTTGTACATGTCTCTTATCAAAGTTTAGAAATTCCCTCCATTCACATTTCATTGGCATTTTTATAGCACTAATTTTGTTAAATGTTTACCTATATTTATCAGTATTTTGTTTTTTTTTTTCTTCTTTAGGCTATTGATAACATGGATTTTCTGATTGGTTCTTTTTTTCTTTTTCTTTCTTTCTTTTTGCCTTTTAAAGACAGGTTCTCCCTGTAGCCCCAGCTGGCCTGGAACTCATTATGCAGACCAGGTTGGATTCTATCTCACAGAGGTCCACCTACCTCTCTGCCTCTGGAGTGCTGGGATGGGATTAAAGGCATGCACCACCATACCTGACTTATGATTATTTTTTGAGTACTGGGTAAGTCTTGGATACCTGGGAAAAGCCCTACTTGATTGTGCTGTATAATTATTTTTATATATTGTCAAATTATATTTGCTATTGCTTTGTTCAAGTGTTTTTACATCTTTAGCTTGTTATAGATTTGTAAGACCAAAAGGCAGGATTCCAACTCCCCTTTGTTGGTATGGGTATGAATGTAAGTGGGGCCACAGTTTTTATTATGGTGTTTGGATGGATTCGTTTTGTGTGTGTGTGCGTGTGTGTGTGTGTGTGTGTGTGTGTGTGTGTATTTCTAGACTGTACCTTTCTTTGTCTTTGGGTATCAAAACTGCAGGTTTATTATGACTTTTCCTCCCCCCGCCCCATATGTATCTGTTTCTCTCGTGTATCAGTAGGTATTTTTTAGTTACTACTCTGTTAGTCAGCTTCCCATTCACCGTGAGAACATACACACCATAAAAGCAAGAAAGGCTTATTTGGTTCATAGTTTCAGAGATTGCCATCCATGATTGATTGACCTGTCACTTTTGGACTTGTGGTGATACAAAAAATCATGGCTGCAGGTAATGGAAGAGGAAGTCTGTTCATGGCTGTGAGGAAGCAAAGAGGGAAGCAGGAAAGGCTGGGGTCCCAATGTCTCCTTCAAAGTCATTCCCCCAATGACCTAACTTCCTTTTCCTAGGCCTTACCTTTTAAAAGTTCTACTTACTAAGACTTTATTACTGTCTTTTGGGGAGACAGTCCAGATTCAGACCAAAGCACTGATATCTTCTACTTTGAGTCTGAGATAATAAGCCTCACCATGATGTGACTCTGAATGCTGAGATTTCTCTTAGTTTTTCAGAATCTTCTTATCCTGACTTGTTTATAAGTTCAAGAGTTTTGGCAATGCACAGTTGTGGGGAAACTTAAGACTATATACTTATCAGAAGAAGGAATCTTTTCATTGAGTAGATTTTTGAGGTGGCTGTTCCAGTAGTCAAGAAGTCAGATGCCTGTTGATGTTAATTTATGGAAGGCTTTTTAATCCTTGGGTGATCGCCCATTGAGGAGCAGCTTCTATGGTAGGAGGTACACTATTGACAGACTACAAATGATTCAGAAATCTGAACATATGACACAGAAGATTTCCTAGGGACACATTTAAAGGCTGCTCCTACAAGGGTTTCCTTGACTGACAGAGGGTTTAAGTGTGGTAAGTCCATTCAGAGACTCCCACTTTTTTTTCTTGGTAAGGTGTGGGGCCAGTGGAGATTTGGTAGCATTGAAATGTCTGACTATCTAACAGTCCCAGGTGCTCCCTGTGATCTCCACCTCCTAGCGTTTAGAAACTGCCTCAGAAAAGGACTCTAGGAACTACTGGTAGCTTCTTGATGACCTCCAAAAAGAAGCTGACCCTTCAGCCTCATTGCTGCAAAGAAATGAACTATGCCAAGGACCTGGAGCTTGGAAGCAGATTCTTTCTTCCCCACTTGACCCTGAAGATGAGAAAGCAGCCCACCTGACATGTGAGACCCGAGCACAGAATGCAATCTATTAAGTCAAGCCTGGACTTGGGACTTTCAGAAACTGTACATTAATATGTGTTCGTTGCATCAAGTCCTAAATTAGTGATAATCTGTTACACAGTAAAATATAATTAATACGCTGACCAATACAATATAATCTTGGTAATTTGGCAATGAAAATTTCAGGCAATGGAAGAAGTGCTCACAAGAAATTCCAACCCTCACACTGATGATAAATCACCCATGAGCTAATGTATTCTTAATGAAGTAATGCATTGTCTGGGGGCATCATTGGCATGCTGGCATAGGGTGTCAGTCTTGGTCTCCTTATCTGAAAACGGAGATGATAATTGCTTCATAAAATGGACGTAAGAATTAGATATGATAATGCAGATAAAAGCTGTTTGTTATAGGGCCTGGCACCTTCCATGGTGTTCATCCCTAAGTTCAGCTCTTGACTGCTTTCAGTGAGATCAAGTTTCTGTCAACATCCACAAACTCCAATGGCAACTGACTTGCATACGTCTCTCCTCCTCAATGATTCTTCAACCATTCCCCCAGGATCAAAACATTTGTGCAATTCTTTCTCAGTTCTCACAGGTCGAAGCAAGAGTTCTCATTTTCCTACAATTTCTACCCTTCGGCAGCAAGCAAACCTCAAATCAGTCCTTCATGCACCCACTCCAGGGCTTCTCCCCAGAAGTGACATTTCTGATTAATAAGAATTCCAGGAAAGGGCTCATTAGTCCTCCGGTAGTTTGCTCTCGATTTCTACTTTCCTCTCCCTGGAGAAAGTGGAGAGTGAAGCCTTGAGGTGGGGAGGAATGCCCTTTTGGAGGCACGGGTAGGTCAGTTCCCCAGACCCTTCCATTTGGAAATAGGGCTTATGCTGCTCCCGGCGGGCTCTGTTCATTCCCCAAAAGGATAGAAACCATCCCGTTTAAAAGAACTAGCTAACTACCTCTAAGACGGGTCATAAGAAGGCCGAGGGCAGAGGCAAGTTCCGGGTAACCAGCGACCCCTCCTGCGTCCATTCCCAGACCCCCGCCGCCATGGACTGCCACATCAGCGACTGCATGGCGCTTCCACCCAGGTTCCTTTCTAGGATGCACCGGGCTCAGAGGGCGGAGGCGGGCCTGAGGCCACAGGAATGGCGGGCTGATCCACCAATCGGTGGCTACTGAGGAACAGCGGCCGCCAATGAGCTGAGGCCTCTGCCAGCAGCCTCAGCCTCGGCCAGTGCCCCGCAGGGAAACCAGTTGAAGCACATCTGGACAGCTGTGCTGAAAAACTGTGCAGCCCTTTCCCGGCCCCGACGTCAGCGAGGCACGTTCCCCACGTCGTCTCCTGCTAGTCACTTATTATTTATTTTTCCCAAGAAGCAACTAGCAACCTAAGCTTGAAACTTTTCTCCCCCTAATGCGAAACGAGGCCACATCCCATTCAACACAGTTTAGTTTTCATGGGGCTCTGGGATCAAAAGAACAGAAACAGCAACAAAAGCCCAGCCGCTGTCTGATCTTAAGTGGAAAAGTGGAAAAAATAAAGTGTTGAGTACACAGACCAAGCTGGGTAAGTTTTGAAGACGCGCTGGACATCATCTTTTGACTGCTGGGCTCTCTGCTTTTCTGTTCTACTCGGTAGACTGCTGTTTATTTGGGGGAGAAAAATCACAGCTTCGTTACACAAACTCCGGGGACACTGGGCTTCTTTCTTGTCCGTTCAGACATTTCAATTTTTCCTTTTGGTTTGCTATTTAAAATTTATTGGGAAGGGTGATGCTGTTGTAATATTTCTTGAGAATAAAATTTTGGCTAGTCTTCAAAATGTTGTTAGCCTCTCTTCATACTGAAGTTGAATGTACTGGTAAATTACTTTTTCTTTTCTTTTTTCTGTGGCAACATTGTGTACATTTAAAAAATTGTATCTATCCTCCACTTTCTGACTATTTTGACAGAAGAAGTATCTGGTGTATTCAGAATTAACACAATATTTGCTGACATTAACAGTTAATGTCAAATTATTTAAAATTTGAATCATATAAGGAATGCTGGATCTTTCACTTAAATTTGAATGTAGTAACGCAAATATTTGTTTTTTCTATCTTCTCATTTTGAAAGAGGGAGACCTAGATTCCTTTATAGTTTTTAAAAAATAATTAAACATGATCAACCACTTTGTGTGTCCATAATCCTATAATTATATATTCAACCTATAATTCTATCAAAATAATATCCACAGTGGTTGTTATGTGTGCATGCTTACAGATAGCTCTAGTTTATATTTTAAGATTTAGAAATAGGTGATGGAATACTGTGCACAAGGCCTATTCCATCTGAAATATCTGACTCCCTCTCTCTGAGAGAAAAGCTTTGAAGTTGAGAGTTTTGTTGTATGTTGTTTAGTGTCATGTGAGATCTGATCAAAACTTATCTTTAATTTCTGGCTCTGAAAGCACTTGGTTAGAGTTCAGTGGAAAAACTGTTAGTAGTAGAGTGTGTTTTTTATTCAAAAGCATAGTATGGAAGAGGAGATAGAACAAACTAAAGAAGGTTTCAGGGATGCAGTGTCAGAACAGTATGGCAAAGAAACAGTAAGAGCTGGCCCTTCAAGTTCAATCCACAACTGCACAGTATGAACTTGGGTAAAATACTCAGCCCACTTCTGCCCCAGTTTTCTCCTCTGTAATGTATTAATAATAAATAATTACAGCTACTTACAGGATTCTCTGGAATACGGAGCTAAGGATCTTAAATGCTTAGAACAGCCTGGCATTTAGTAAGTCTTTGCTCTTGATTTCCTTCTTTGTTTTTCTCAGCTTCTTCTGTACAATTTCTTCAGTAGCATTTTGACCTCTGCTCTAAAAACTAGTGCTTATCCTGTTCTGAACACTTGCTAGCCAGGCATTGTGTGAAGCTTTGAAAGTGGAAGCATTTTAAATGGTGAGCAAGGCAGAACTGATTCAGGCCTTGCATATAGAAGGTTCTGGGGATAAAGGGGATACAGAAGGCCATCTTAACATGTGATGGTTTCATGGAAGGACTGCCATCTCTAGGAAAGGATATCGCCCATGTGCATTGGGGGTGATGGTGGAAAGGGTCCATAGAGCTGTGATAGTATTCTAGCAGTCAGGGGAAGTAGGGGCAAAGGTCTGGTGGCTGTAAAGTATTGAGCTGTCCTGGGAACACTGAGAAAATCTGTGAGAAATTAGTGGGAGGAAAAGATGGAAAACTTTCTGCTGGGAGGGCAAGAAACCAAAGCATGAATTTCTAGGTGGAAAAGGGAAGGTTTGGGAAGTAGATTGGCATGGGCCTGGTAAGCTGAGTTGACACCAGTTCCCATGTGAAAACTTTGTGAAATGATTCATTTCTGGTGACTGGTCCCTACTGCTTGCCCAACATGCATTCCTGATCTGTTCCAATGCTTCTCTAACTTCCATTCAGGCCTGCAGCTTGGATGGGTAGGACTGGGTGGCTCACCAGGACAGCAATTTGAATTCCTACTGCAGTGGCTGTCTTTGACTTCTGGTACTCTGGGACATTTCCCAGGCTATTTTTCATTAACAAAGCCAACTTTGAATCTTTGATGTGAGTATGCTTGTTGCAACTCTCCACTGTTGTCATACAGACCCAGTGTGTGAAGACTAGGTCTTTGCCAATCAAATCATCTATTTCCATTTTAATATCTAGGATTTTATATTTACACTTACTGAAGTAGATACTACTTGCAATAGGCACCTAAGTGAGGTGTCAGCTTACAGAAGGGTCTTGTGCCTTCTCTTCCAAGGGATCATGGTACTCTGGCCAATTGCTGTACTCTGGTGTGGCTGCTGACCACCTGCCTGACCTCAGGCAAGACATTGAACCATTGCGACTCTCCATGCCATCGTCTATGAAATGATCACCAAAACCCCTTTTCCTTGGGTGATTATATATTTCCTTCTTTTCTCCGTGAAACAGTCAGTTGTCCACACATGGCTATTTGATACATCTTTGGCTAATATTTTCTGACCACTTAACATGTGGCAGATGTTCTAGTGCTTAGCTTTGTGACATCCTCACAACAGCCTTATAATGATTGCTATCTATTTGTGTCCTGCTTTCATAGTTGAGGAGACAGAGACACAGGTGGGTTAAGTACTTGCTCACAATGAACAAGTGGAAGGTACAGACTCAGTCTGATCCCAGATCCTAAGCTTTAACCATTAGGCTGTACTACCTTAGGTAATTATTACATGAGAAATTGTGACTCCTCTTCCTCATCCTCTTCTCTCCCCCTTCCCTCCTTCATTTCCTCCTCCTCCTCTTCATCTTTTTCCTCCTCTTTCCCCACCTTCTTTCTTTGTTGTGGGGTTTTGCTATGTTGCCTAAGCTGGCTTCAAATGTGTGACCTTCCTGCTTCAGTCTCCAAATGCTGGTATTATAGGTTCCACCACCATGTCAGGCTTTGTGGTTCTTCTTGTTTGTGGTAGTGATAGTCAACAAGTCCATGAAAAGAGGATCACAGGGGCCAGGGCCATGTTTGGAGGAACTATCTTAATAAAATTTGCCTTGAAGGTCCAGAATACCAGCAGGATTCTGTCTAGGAGGGATGCTCTACTTCACATGACCATTGGAAACATAGAATTTTTGTATTAATTGGATTTCACTTCAGGCAAACATTTATATCTTGTTTGATCATAGATAGCATCTTGATTTGCAGTAGACCCTCAATAAAGTCAATTAGTGTCAGTTGGAAGAGACCTAGGAGACTATTGATGTTCTATGGACTATACAGGGGCAGCACACAGCCTCCTATTCTTAATTCTTTAGAATCTCTGGTTTTGGATCATCCACCAAAAACTTTTCAGAGTGATTTTTTTGCCAGCACACTGCGACTTGGAAACTGTATAATATACTGTTCCTTTCCCTGAAAGTCCCTGCCTTGTCTGTCAGTTAGAAAACAAGATGAAATAAATATTGAGACTCAAATATATCTCAAGAAAGAAAGAAAGAAAGAAAGAAAGAAAGAAAGAAAGAAAGAAAGAAGAAAGAAAGAAAGAAAGAAAGAAAGAAAGAAAGAAAGAAAGAAAGAAAAAGAAAGAAAGAAAGAAGGATTAGTGACTGTAGTATCTGTAGTATTTTATTTAAAAACAGAGAAACTATGAAATGCTCAAGACTTGTACAAAAATGGGGCAGATGCCAGCTAAACACCCTAGACTGCTTGGGCATCCTAGTGTCCCCTTTTTTTCTGGAGATGCTGTGATTTAGGGACAATTTTTCATAATAAAGTTCAATGTGGGACTATTTTAAGAGTATAGCTACTAATCATACCCAATCTGGAATTAGCATTTTTTTCTGGGAATCCATTCCTTAAATATTTAAGGTACTGAATAAAGCTTAAAATATTAGAAAATAACTTAATCTGCTCTTTATCTTTTTACCTTAATGTAGTTACTCTTTAGACTAGTTTAGTGACTAAGCACACAGGCTTTGATGCCAGATTGTGAAGGTTTGGATCCCAGATTTGATTCTTACTAGTGTGGCCATGAGCAAGTCATTTCTCTATATTATCCTTTGATATGGGAGGTGCTAAAAGGCACTCCATGTAAGTATTGACCTAGTGTTTGGCTCAAGCCTAGACATGCAAGAAATTTATCTTATATTAAAGTAATTAATACATACATATGCTTGCACACACATATAAAACAAAACAACATTTTATTAAGAGTAAAGTGTAATGGCATTGAATGTATTCATACTGTAGCTCCACCATCACTACTAACTGTCTGTCTGTTGGACTTTTCTATTTGCTCAAAGTGAAATGCTTTAGACACTAGCTTTTTTTATCTCTTAACCTGTCAGCTTTTGGCAACCTCCATTCTGCTTTCTGTTTATATGAATCTGACTACACTAGGCTACTCATTTACCTGGACCCATACAATATATTTGTCCCTGTATGTCTGACATAATCCTTTTGGCATAATGTCCTCAAAGTTTATCAGTGTTGTACCATGTGTCAGATTTTGTTTCCTTTTTAAGAGTAAATAACTTTTATTTGCCTGTGTATTTCATCTTTTGTTTATCCATTTGTGGGTAGAGTAAGGTTGTTTATGATGAATACTTTTTTTGTTTGTTTGTTTGTTTGGTCTTTTTGAGACAAGGTCTCCCTGTAGCCCCAGCTGACCTGGAACTCACTATGTAGACCAAGCTGGCCTTGAACTCACAGAGATCCGCCTGCCTCTGCCTCCCGAGTGCTGGGATTAAAGGTGTGCGCCACCATGCCCGGCTATGATGGATACTTTTATGTGTCAATCTGACGAGGCCACAAACTCAGATATTTGGCCAATCATTATTCTAACTCTTCTGTGAAGATAATGAAGGACTACCTGGTGTTTTAGACCAGATTAGCATTTAAATTAGTTGACTGAGTATTCTCTATAATGTGGGTCAATCTTATCCATTCAGTTGAAAGTCTCCATGGAAAATGAATGGCTTAATTAAAGAGCTATGATTCTGGCTTCAGACTAACTTCGGAATTGAGGTTGTGGTACTAACTCTTCTTTAGGTCTCCAGTCTGCTGGTTTATCCTGT